AAACCAGTGGGGGCGGGTACCAGCTCAAAAGTGGCCAAAATGACGTGCGCTGACATGCTTGCAATACCATCCCGGGCCGATGGGGGTGGACCCAGAAGAAGGATTAGCCAATGCTAACATATAGCGTTGGCAGACCTCTCGAAAACGTCTTTACAGGATGGATCAAAAGTTGGCTCTTGGCCCAAAGCTCCGTTCCACATGTGTGTCAATGCTGAGGGGGGTGAATTTTTTTGGTCCACTCTAGTTTACTTGCTGTGAATTTTTGAAGTTTCTCGTTCAAATGAATGGAGCTGCGCCGGCTGACATATGCGCAGATGCGTTTTTTCACAATTTTCTTGTGGGCGGGACCACTCGCGGCCATTTTGGATTGCTCCAGTAGAGCAAATTTTTTGGCCCATTAGTTAGAACACCGGAGATAGGCGTGACTCTGTCCGTTAATATATACAGTCTATGCTTTAAACGCTTGCACTATATATTTTATTTGTGGAGCTGTATTCCAGTCACTTGAGTACATTAAAAAGAGACAGATTATGTTCTTGCTTGCTTGACTTTGACCATGCTGCCATTCTTCATTCCCTTCATTAGTGTGCTGGAAATCTCTTGTTGTCACAGCTGCCTTAGGACAGAACCATTGAAGTGAGCCTGCCAACTATTCCTTCATCCTTAACACTAATCACTCAGATAAAAATGTCTACTTAAAAATTACAAAAAGAACCAAAAACGTTGCGTTTTTGAACAATGCCATATTCAACAGATATAAGAGTTGAGTTTTCCCTTAAAGTAGCGGATTGAACCCAGCTGGCTGGGCTTCTCATGTGGCAGAGGTTTTGTTGATGGTCACAGAGGGATGTTTGAAGTCCGACTGCAGCTCGCAGCTCGCCCGCTCTGGCCATCTGCTGCTGTGGCTCGGACTGCATTAGAACTGGGCCCATCGTCCCTGAGAGAAAAGCAAATGGAGATAGAAGCTGTTAAAAGTGAACTTTTATGGCTTTGGTAGTGTCGTGTTACAGCCTGTCCGGTGGTGACCGACAGGTGGAATATGGTCAAGGCTGTAAAGCACAAAGCTGTTTATGAAGGCACTTATGTAATGGATAAGAGTATGTGGATATGTAATGGGAGCGATAAGAGAAGGGAGAATATATTTGGCAAATACAAATGTTATTGGCATTTATTTTACCAGGAAAGTCCCACAGTGATTTCAGAATTTATTTTTCAAGAGAGTTATGGCCCCAGACAGAGGGAAGCCATTGTACAGTGCCTTGCGAAAGTATTCGGCCCCCTTGAACCTTTCAACATTTCGCCACATTTCAGGCTTCAAACATAAAGATATAAAAATTTAATTTTTTGTCAAGAATCAACAAGTGGGACACAATCGTGAAGTGGAACAAAATTTATTGGATAATTTAAACTTTTTTAACAAATAAAAAACTGAAAAGTGGGGCGTGCAATATTATTCGGCCCCCTTGCGCTAATAATTTGTAGCACCACCTTTTGCTGCAATTACAGCTGCAAGTCGCTTGGGGTATGTCTCTATCAGTTTTGCACATCGAGAGACTGGAATTCTTGCCCATTCTTCCTTGCACAACAGCTTGAGCTCAGTGAGGTTGGATGGATCTTTCCACAGATTCTCGATTGGATTCAGGTCTGGACTTTGACTTGGCCATTCTAACACCTGGATACATCTATTTGTTAACCATTCCATTGTAGATTTGGCTTTATTTTTGGATTATTGTCCTGTTGGAAGATAAATCTCCGTCCCAGTCTCAGGTCTTTTGCAGACTCCAACAGGTTTTCTTCCAGAATGGTCCTGTATTTGGCTCCATCCCTCTTCCCATCAATTTTAGCCATCTTCCCTGTCCCTGCTGAAGAAAAGCAGGCCCAAACCATGATGCTGCCACCATCATGTTTGACAGTGGGGATGGTGTGTTCAGGGTGATGAGCTGTGTTGCTTTTACGACAAACATGTAGTTTTGCATTGTGGCCAAAAAGTTCGGTGTGTCTCCCAGGTGGCTTGTGGAGACTTTTTATGGATATCTTTGAGAAATGGCTTTCTTCTTGCCACTCTTCCATAAAGGCCAGATTTGTGCAGTGCACGACTGATTGTTGTCCTATGGACAGACTCTCCCACCTCAGCTGTAGTTATCTGCAGTTCATCCAGAGTGATCATGGGCCTCTTGTCTGCATCTCTGATCAGTCTTCTCCTTGTTTGAGATGAAAGTTTGGAGGGACGGCCGGGTCTTGGTAGATTTGCAGTGGTCTGATACTCCTTCCATTTCAATATAATTGCTTGCACAGTGCTCCTTGAGATGTTTAAAGCTTGGGAAATCTTTTTGTATCCAAATCCGGCTTTAAACTTCTCCACAACAGTATCTCGGACCTGCCTGGTGTGTTCCTTTGTCTTCATGGTTCTCTGCGCTTTAAACAGAACCCTGAGACTATCAAAGAGCAGATCGCATTTATACGGAGACTTGATTACACACAGGTGCATTTCTATTTATCATCATCAGTCATTTAGGACAACATTGGATCATTCAAAGATCCTCACTGAACTTCTAGAGTGAGTTTGTTGCACTGAAAGAAAAGGGGCCGCATAATATTGCACGCCCCACTTTTCAGTTTTTTATTTGTTAAAAAAGTTTAAATTATCCAATAAATGTCATTCCACTTCACGATTGTGTTTGATTCATGACAAAAAATTAAATTTTTATATCTTTATGTTTGAAGACTGAAATGTGGCGAAATGTTGAAAGGTTCAAGGGGGCCGAATACTTTCGCACTGTATTTTCTTCTGTGTGGGCTGTAACATCCCAAGTAAAACAGTCCTGCTATATCCAAACAATAAACCTTGGATCACTAAAGCCCATAAACAGATCATAAATAAATAAAGGGAAACAGTCGGGACAAAGAAGTTAGACAGGAGCTGAGGATCCCTGTCCTCTGTCCTGCAGATTGGCCAAAGACAGACTCAGAGCCAGATTAAGATTGATGGAATTGAGGCAGAAGATTTGGCAAACACTTTTAATGACTTTTCAAAGGAGGTCTCTCTCCTCAGAGACAATATGTCACCCAACTGTGATAGTTATTAGCCAGGAGTGCGTGAGGGACCTTTGAAGAGAGTGAATATCAGAAAGTCGCCGTTCACACAGAATGTGTGGCCGCACACTACACTGACCAGACAGAATGTGTGGTCGCACACTTCTGCACTGACCAGGCAGAATGTGTGGCCGCACACTGCACTGACCAGACAGAATGTGTGGCCGCACACTGCACTGACCAGACAGAATGTGTGGCCGCACACTTCTGCACTGACCAGACAGAATGTGTGGCCGCACACTGCACTGACCAGACAGAATGTGTGGCCGCACACTACACTGACCAGACAGAATGTGTGGTCGCACACTGCACTTCTGCACTGACCAGACAGAATGTGTGGCCGCACACTTCTGCACTGACCAGACAGAATGTGTGGCTGCACACTTCTGCACTGACCAGACAGAATGTGTGGCCGCACACTGCACTGACCAGACAGAATGTGTGGCCGCACACTTCTGCACTGACCAGACAGAATGTGTGGCCGCACACTTCTGCACTGACCAGACAGAATGTGTGGCCGCACACTGCACTGACCAGACAGAATGTGTGGCCGCACACTTCTGCACTGACCAGACAGAATGTGTGGCCGCACACTTCTGCACTGACCAGACAGAATGTGTGGCCGCACACTGCACTTCTGCACTGACCAGACAGAATGTGTGGCCGCACACTTCTGCACTGACCAGACAGAATGTGTGGCCGCACACTGCACTTCTGCACTGACCAGACAGAATGTGTGGCCGCACACTTCTGCACTGACCAGACAGAATGTGTGGCCGCACACTGCACTGACCAGACAGAATGTGTGGCCGCACACTGCACTTCTGCACTGACCAGACAGAATGTGTGGTCGCACACTTCTGCACTGACCAGACAGAATGTGTGGCCGCACACTGCACTGACCAGACAGAATGTGTGGTCGCACACTGCACTTCTGCACTGACCAGACAGAATGTGTGGTCGCACACTTCTGCACTGACCAGACAGAATGTGTGGCCGCACACTGCACTGACCAGACAGAATGTGTGGCCGCACACTGCACTTCTGCACTGACCAGACAGAATGTGTGGTCGCACACTTCTGCACTGACCAGACACAGAATGTGTGGCCGCACACTGCACTGACCAGACAGAATGTGTGGCCGCACACTGCACTGACCAGACAGAATGTGTGGTCGCACACTTCTGCACTGACCAGACAGAATGTGTGGCCGCACACTTCTGCACTGACCAGACAGAATGTGTGGCCGCACACTGCACTTCTGCACTGACCACCTCAGTGTTGAGCTCCAACATGTGTTTCAGCTTCACTCGACTTCAATCTAAGCCCAAGTTTATGGAGATCCTCAACAGTGATTCCTGTTGCAAAAATAAATCGGCCAAAGCAGCTTAAATATTTTAGACCAGTGGCATTAACCCCTCTTTGTATGAAGATATTTGAGAAAATTATAAGAAATTAAATTCTCAAAAATGTGGAGGGAAGAATGGACCCGTTGCAGTTTGTACCAGGCACATAAGGAGTTGATGATGCTAAACTTTTAAACATCTGGAAAAGCCTCAAGCTCAAGCGAGACTCTTGCAGATCTTGTGTCAGCATTCAACACTATGAGTCTTCTGAACCACTTTGATCTCCCTCACCAACTGCTGTCATGGATCTTACACTTTTTAACTAATAGACAACAGAGAGTGTTCGTGAATGACTGTCTGAGGTTGCTACAATCTCCACAGGTTCTCCCAGGGGTTCTCTCTCCTCTTCTTCTCCTGTCTGAGGTTCTCCCAGGGGTTCTCTCTCCTCTTCTTCTCCTGTCTGAGGTTTCCCCAGGGGGTTCTCTCTCTTCTTCTTCAGGGGTTCTCTCTCCTCTTCTTCTCCTGTCTGAGGTTGCCCCAGGGGGTTCTCTCTCTTCTTCTTCAGGGGTTCTCTCTCCTCTTCTTCTCCTGTCTGAGGTTACCCAGGGGGTTCTCTCTCTTCTTCTTCAGGGGTTCTCTCTCCTCTTCTTCTCCTGTCTGAGGTTTCCCCAGGGGGTTCTCTCTCTTCTTCTTCAGGGGTTCTCTCTCCTCTTCTTCTCCTGTCTGAGGTTGCCCCAGGGGGTTCTCTCTCTTCTTCTTCAGGGGTTCTCTCTCCTCTTCTTCTCCTGTCTGAGGTTGCCCCAGGGGGTTCTCTCTCTTCTTCTTCAGGGGTTCTCTCTCCTCTTCTTCTCCTGTCTGAGGTTACCCAGGAGCAACGTACTTGGTGAAATGTTCAGATGACACAGCCCTCCTGTCTCTTCTTAATGGAAATGAGATTGGTCATGGTGAGGCTCTTAGTGGTTTTATTTCATGGTGTGACAAACATTTCCTGGAAGAGATCCAGCCCCTTTAAGTATTGTTCACGGTGTAGGGGTTGAGAGAGTCTCCCACTACAAATACCTTGGCACTATATTGGACGATAAACACTGCTGCTTTTGTGAAGCGCAGCCGGCAAAGACTTTACCTTATGCACAAGTTAAACTCCTCTGAATGTGGGAATAAGGATATTTTACTGGTTAAATTCGGACACCCCTGTAATATTTCATGTTTTACTTTTTATTTATTTTTAATGTCTTATTGAGACTATATGGCACAGTATTTAATGTTAGTTAGTTTACATTAAAATAGCATACTGGCGCCACCAGGTGGCGTTTGCCTGTTTTTAAGGTGAGGGCCTCACGAGAGAGAAAGTGAGGAGAGTTTTCAGAGAGAACATGATTGTGAACCTGCAGTTGCCTGTCGTGCTAAAGGACAATAAAACCACTGTGAATCGTCAGATGCTGCCTCTTCTTCTCTTGGTAGCAGAGGATGGTTCAGCTGTGCTACAAAAGACGGTGAGTCAGCAGAAAAGAATGCAAGACGACACGATGCAGTTTGAGGAGCTTCAGTAAGTAATTAGTAATCTTTATTTATATACCGCCTTTTCACTGCACATCAGAGTCTCAAAGCGGTTTACAATTGTGATTTTTTGGAGTGGGGCCAGTACAGGAGGCACAGACCTATTGTACATATTTTTAGTGGTAGGGGAAACCGGAGCACCCGGAGGAAACCTACGCAGACACGGGGAGAACATGCAAACTCCACTCAGAAAGGCCCTGGTCCAACCGGGATTTGAACCCAGGACCTTCTTGCTGAGAGGCGAGAGTGCTATCCACTCAGCCACCGTGCCGCCCACTTCAGGACAAGCTAAGCGAGGCCTTGGTGCAGCTACAACCTGAACAACTCCACGAGGTGTGTGATTTTGCAAAGATAGACACTGCAAAGCCGTCCAGAAAGCACACGCTGTTAAGAAAGATAAGCACGGAGGTTGACAATGTCATTGAAAAAGAAGAGGAGACCATAGCACTAACGTTTCTGCGAGCGTTAATCGCATATGCTAATGATGCTAAGGAGAGAGCCGAACCACCGCCACCACAAGCAGCTGCAGAGACGAGCGTCAGCCACGAAGCAGAAGCACTTTCTAGTTTGCAAAAACAATATGCAGCTTTACAAGAAAGTTTTCTGGAGTCAACAAAGAAAATTGAAGAGGAAATGGCCAAGCTAACAACACGAGGCATGACTGGACAGCAGAGACGCTCCCCCGACACCTCCATTGCCTGAAGTGACTATCAGAAGAGAGTTTAGGATTAATGGTCAAATCGGAGAGCGAGGCCAGAAAGACAAACTTTCGTATTCTAATCTCATTCACCAGATTGATATGGGCCTAAAGAAGCATCACAGTGAATGTGAGATTATTGAAGCAGTCGTCAGAGCATTGAGTCCTGGTCTCAGTCTACGTGATATGTTGGAGATAAAGTCCGATCTCACTCTGTCTCAGCTACGCACAATTCTGCGTGGACATTATAAAGAGGACAGCTCCACAGACCTGTACAATCGCCTAATGAATCTCACACAGGACAGCAATGAGTCACCCCAGAACTTTCTGTTTCGTGCGATTGAGTTAAAAGAAAGACTTTTAGTGGCATCAAAAGAACCCGGCACTGAAGAGCAGTACAGTCCCAACTTAATCCAAAGAAAGTTTCTGAGGGCTGTGGAAACAGGACTGCTTAGTGTGGATGTAAAATACCAACTAAAGCAGTACTTGGAGGATCCTGCTGTTACAGACGAAATTTTGATTACTAAAACCCATTCAGCAGCCAGTCTTGAATGGGAACGACAACAAAAGTTCAAAAAGCACATGAAAGAGCCTAAAATCAGAGAACTCACAGTAGAAGCTCAAATAGTTCCAGAAGCAACCGTCGCAAGTGTGAACAGTCAAGCGTGCCCTGCCCAGTCTACAAAAGGTAAAACTAAGACCACAAAGCACAGCTACACGCACTGAGTCGGAGCTTTTTGACCTGGTGACGCAGCTCAAAAGTGAAATGGAAGACATCAAGAAGGCTATACGTGAGTCTCCCAAAGCTTCTTACCCAAGAACAAACCGAAGACGCGGATGCAAAACCTGTCAGTCAGATAACAACGGAGACGCGGGACTGTAGATCCAGGAAACCACCAGGTAAACTGACATGGCTGTAAGTACTGTCACAACCACAATGACACCAGTTGATCCTCAACAGTTGTACAAAATAGTGACGGACAGCATCCAGAAGTTAGAAGCTAAACTGTCAGCTAAAGCAGAGGGGGAACTGGGTAAAGAAACAGCTAGTGTTAACCTTCTGTCTCCTAATCGGAAAACTCAGTTGCTCAGTCTGATTGGAAAAGAATACGTCATTAGCTGCTCCCTCAATGATGTAAACACAAAAGCTTTGTGGGACACAGGTTCACAGGTCTGCCTCATAAATGAGACCTGGAGACAAAACAACATGCCAGACACTACAGTTAGGGACCTAGCTGAGTTGGTGGGTCCAGATGTACTGGATGGGAGAGCAGTAAACCAGACACCTATTCCGTTTTCTGGGTGGGTGGAGGTTACATTTAAGCTTCCTGCAGACAGTGATCCTCATGTAGAGCTATCAGTCCCTGTGTTAGTGGCAAATGGACCTGGAGTGGCAGAACAACCTATAATTGGGTTTAATGTGATTGAGCATGTCCTTAAAATGGGCATTGAACCCCCATGCACACTCAGTGAAGCAGTTAGCGCAGCCTTCTCATTTGACTGTAAGAGGACAGAGGTGTTCCTGAAGGTGATGCAAAGTGAGGAAGATGGGTTGGGGGAAGGCATGGTAAAAACGGGTAATGAGACAGTGACTATTCCTGCGGGCCACACCAAATCGGTTAAGTGTTTTGTCAGAGCAGGCACAGTTACAGACACGCAAGATGTACTTTTTGAGCCAAATCAGTACACTCAGTTACCGGATGGGTTACAGATGCAGAGTGGGGTAGTACTGTTAAGGAAGGGGCGTCGGTCCATGTTGATCATCCCTGTCACAAACAGTAGTAGCCGTGACATCGAAGTGCATGCTAAAACAGTGTTGGGACAGACACAAAGGGTCAAAACAATTTATCCTGCAGATATGAAACCAGCTACTGTAGGTCAAGTTGTAACGGATCCAGTTATGGGCAATCAAAACATGAAGTGTAGAGATGTGGACAATACCGCTAATGCATCTACTGACATTTGGGAGCCCCAAGTTCCCCTCGATCACCTCCCCCCAGCAGAACAGGGCAGAGTTAGACAGCTTCTGAGGGAGGAGAGACATGCATTTGCACGTGATGGGTATGATGTAGGCAGAATTCCCTCTCTACAGTTAAAAATAAGATTGAACGATCCCACTCCCGTTAAGAAGACCTACATCTCAGTACCTCGAGTACCTCGACCGCTGCACAAAGAGGTGAAAGAATACCTAGAGGACTTATTAAACAGGGGTTGGATAACTAAATCAAGGTCATCATACTCCAGTCCCATTGTTTGTGTGCGGAAAAAGGACGGTGGTCTGCGCTTGTGTTGCGATTTCAGAGAGCTGAATAAAAAGTCCATACCCGACCGTCACCCCATCCCCCGCATACAGGACATGTTGAACAGTTTAAAAGGAAGTGCGTGGTTTTCAGTCCTCGACCAAGGGAAGGCATATCACCAGGGTTTCGTGGAAGAGTCGAGCCGTCCCCTCACTGCTTTCATAACACCGTGGGGTCTCTTCGAGTGGGTAAGGATTCCATTTGGTCTGTCCTCAGCACCGGCAGTATTCCAAAGATCGATGGAGGAGTGTTTGTGGGGGTTGAGAGATGACATTTGCTTGCCTTACCTCGATGATAATTTAGTCCATTCACAGACATTTGAAGATCACCTGCGTGACTTGAGAAACGTCCTTCATCGTTACCAGAGCCACGGAGTGAAACTCACTCCACGAAAATGTGAGTTATTCAAGCAGCAGGTACGTTTTCTCGGCAAGATGGTCACAGAACAGGGCTATACTATGGATCCTGCGGACATTGCCCCAGTGCAGGCGTTAAAACAGAACCAGCCTGCCACTATAGGAGAGTTAACCTCTTAACATCCGCCTCATTTTGGCTCGTGCACAATGGTTGGGCATACCCAAATGTCTTTGCTTATTTAAAAACACATCTTACATCTCACATGCTTGTGTGATGCATCATTTTAAAGCTAGAGCCTTCTAGTTTATGTAAAAAAACACTAAAATAATGTTTGTCATTCCTATTTTCCTCTGCATCCTTTGAAGTTAGGGAAAAAAACCCAATTTTTTTAGCCTCGCCTAACATTTTCAATTTCTAAAGGCCCTAAAAAGGCATACTTCATTGTAAGTTCACAATATTCAAACCCTGTGGTCATTGTGTTGTTGACAACAACTGTCTAAAGTTTCAGACTTCTAAGTTTTATAGTTTTTATGCAGTTTCTCCTTTTCATCAAGTAGTGCACATTTGGCACAATTTGGCACAAGTGTGCCAAATTGTGCCAAATATCTTTACTTACATTTAATCATCATAAAAACAATATTTTTTATTATTGGTACTTATAAGTTACTAATCTATGTGTGTTTTTCTTTTTTAAATGTCAAAGTTATTTTTTTATGAGTGTAAATTCATTGCAGATTCGAGAGCGTCTTTTGGCTTCCATTACGCACAATTGTCCAGGCACAACATAAGACAGGACACCATTGTCCCACCCCTTGTTCGAAAGCTTTCCTCATTGGCTACAAGGACATGTCAATCGTAAATCCCGGAAGTAAAAGCAAACAAGTTGGGATCACAACAAAGATCAGTCCTTCATGCGCAAACAGCAGCACTAGCTGTACTTACGGGGGCTCTTGCAGACCCAAAAATTGGTCTAGCTTTTCGGGAGTAGTCTCATTTGAAAGATAAGGAGCTAAGGAACACGTAGATACCAGATGTGTGGGTGAAAAACAAAGCTAAAAGTCCGTTAATAGTGAAAGAGTAACATCTGTGCTCTTTTTTTTCGTTTTTTTCGCTAAAGATAAATGCACATTTTTGGATTATTTCTGCAGAATGGATTTTACTTTGGGAAATACAAGTGGATATAATCTTCCTTTGGACTGTTCCAGAGAGAATGATGTATTGCAAGCTGGGAGGAGAGCTGATTTATTTGTACAGCACAAGCCCAAAGGTAAAAAACTATTTCGGAATTGATTTATTTTGTGCCCACATTATGTGTTATATCTTTTGAATGCAAAGTCTGATGTAGTTTACACTTGTATATAAATGTAGATAAGAAAATAAGCTTTAAAATGATATACAGCTTTTGGGGTTTGGTGTTCAAAATACATCTGCTATTGCCAGCAGAACATTTAAAAACATAAAAACAGCCGCCGGCGCGCTTTGTCTCGTATTATAGGAGCTACATACCAAACTTCTCTCGCATAGCTAAGCCTCTGTACGACCTCCTAGCAAATAAAGAAACGGATACAATAAAACCAAACACAAGGAAACTAAGTAAACTGAAACAAAATGGGGTGGGTCAACTGCCTTCGTCCCATAAAATCAAGTGGTCCTTTGAGCATCAGACAGTGCTGAGCCAACTCATTGACTGTTTATCCCAGCCCCCTGTGTTGGGTTACCCAAACTTTGAGGAGCCCTTTATTTTGCATTGTGACGCTTCACAAGAAAGACTTGGGGCAGTGCTTTACCAGAGGCAAAACGGGAAACTGGTAGTCATAGCATATGGCTCCAGGACGCTTACAAATCCAGAGAAGAACTATCACCTTCATTCAGGGAAACTGGAGTTCCTTGCCCTGAAGTGGGCCATATGTGAGAGGTTTCGGGATTTTCTATACTATTCACCCCCATTTACTGTCTATACTGACAATAATCCCCTTACATATGTGCTCACCACTGCAAAATTAAATGCAACAACACAGAGGTGGATGGCAGAGTTTGCGGATTTCCAGTTTGTCATTAAGTACCGGCCAGGAAAAGCAAATGGTGATGCAGACGGCCTCTCACGTATGCCCTTAGATATGGAGCAATACATGAGCAAATGCACGCAAGATGTTCAGCCTGAAGTTAGGCAATGTGTGGCTCAAGCAGTCAAGGTGAAGTCACAAGTGAATGAGCCTTGGCTTTGTCCAGTTACTATTTCCACTCTTATTAGTGCAGAAGATCTGGAAATGAGCTCAGTGGCTGAACTATCAAAGGCTGATTTGAAGAGAGCTCAAGAGGAAGACTCAGTTATTGGAGATGTTTTGGGATATGTGATGTCAAAGCAATGGCCAAAAAGTATAAAACATCTAAACAATAAAATTGCAGCCCTTGTCAGAGAAAAACACAAACTTCAAATAGGAGATGATGGACTGCTTTATCGGAAAACAGCCTCCCGCATCCAGCTGCTCTTGCCCCAAAAGTTCCATAAGCTGGTTTACAAAGAGCTACATGAGGACATGGGCCATTTAGGGGTAGAGAGGGTCATGCATCTGATCAGGGAGCGCTTTTATTGGGCTCATATGCAAAGAGACGTCGAACATTACATCACTAAAGTGTGCAGTTGTTTGAAGAATAAGCCTCCCAACAGACCCACCAGAGCTCCGTTAACAAATATTGTCACTGCATACCCGTTTGAACTAGTGTCAGTGGATTTTCTACATTTAGAAAGATGCAAAGGAGGATTCGAGTACATTTTGGTTATAATGGACCACTTCACTCGTTTTGCCTTGTTGCCCCTGTCGCAACAAGGCTGCCCATACTGCTGCCAAAAGATATTTGGGGACTTTGCGCTCAAGTTTGGTTTTCCCACTCGTCTTCACCATGACCAGGGAAAAGAGTTTCAAAATAAACTCTTCGCAAAGTTACAGGAGTATAGTGGAGTACAGGGATCGCGGACTACACCTTACCACCCCCAAGGAAATGGGCAGGTGGAGCGGTTTAACCGTACTTTGCTGGCTATGCTCAGAAACTTGCCTGAAGCAGCAAAAGCAGATTGGAAGTCTTCTCTCGCTAAGGTAGTTCATTCATATAACTGCACGCGCAGCGAGGCTACGGGGTATGCACCATATTTCTTATTGTTTGGTCGAAGCCCAAAATTGCCAATTGATCTCATGTTTGGCCTGGAAACAAAAGAGCAGAGTTCATCACATCAAGAATATGCTGGAAAGTGGAGGATAAAAATGACTGAAGCTTACAAACTGGCCTCAAAATCAGCCTACAAAGAGGGAACGAGAGGTAAAGCCCTCTATGACAAAAAAGTTTATGGTGCTGAGTTGCTCCCAGGATCCAGAGTTCTCGTCAGGAACTTAAATGAAAAAGGTGGGCCAGGAAAACTTAGATCTTTCTGGGAAGATCGTGTTTATGTTGTAACTCAGAAGAAACATCAAGACAGCCCAGTGTATGAGATAAAACCGGAAAATGGCAAAAGACGCACACGTATACTGCACAGGAATTTGCTGCTGCCATGTGACTTCCTCCCTGTTGAAATGACTGTGCCTCCTGATAAAGAGACAAAGAAGAAGAAAAGAGACACAAAAAGACAAAGTCACATGGACACACAGAACAGCACAGCCGATGAGGATGAAGATGGCTGGTATGCCATAATCGGGCTGCGGACGGGAAATAGCACTGAAGAGGACAATCATCTGAGAATCGAAGCACCTGAGTTCCACCCAGACAATGACATGACTCAGGAGGGTGAGGAGCACGACACAGACGACGAGACAAGGGCACATGTGGCACCAGAAGCCGAGGCGCCAGAGGACCGGGCTGAGAAAGTCGACGGTCAGGATGATGTGTTGTCTGAGTCCAGCTCCAGTGACCAGGAGAATCCGGTCGACACCCCAGCTAAACAGTATCCTTTCAGACTTAGAAAGAAAAGAGTGATATTTACCTATGATAAATTAGGTGTGCCTAGCACTTCAAGTGTTTAGCAAAAGGAAAGAAGTGAAGTCACTCAAGTTTTATGTTTAAAGTTTGAATTGTTAAATATGAGCAGTTTTTGATTTGGCTCATACGTTACATAAATACTAGTTGTAGATTGAACAAGGAGGAGTTCATCAGAATGTCCACAGGTCATGTTCTGAAGGAGGTGTTCATCAGAATGTCCACAGGTCATGTTCTGAAGGAGGAGTTCATCAGAATGTCCACAGGTCATGTTCTGAAGGAGGAGGTCATCAGAATGTCCACAGGTCATGTTCTGAAGGAGGAGTTCATCAGAATGTCCACAGGTCATGTTCTGAAGGAGGTGTTCATCAGAATGTCCACAGGTCATGTTCTGAAGGAGGTGTTCATCAGAATGTCCACAGGTCATGTTCTGAAGGAGGTGTTCATCAGAATGTCCACAGGTCATGTTCTGAAGGAGGAGTTCATCAGAATGTCCACAGGTCATGTTCTGAAGGAGGTGTTCATCAGAATGTTCACTGGTCATGTTCTGAAGGAGGAGTTCATCAGAATGTCCACAGGTCATGTTCTGAAGGAGGAGTTCATCAGAATGTCCACAGGTCATGTTCTGAAGGAGGTGTTCATCAGAATGTCCACAGGTCATGTTCTGAAGGAGGTGTTCATCAGAATGTCCACAGGTCATGTTCTGAAGGAGGAGTTCATCAGAATGTCCACAGGTCATGTTCTGAAGGAGGAGTTCATCAGAATGTCCACAGGTCATGTTCTGAAGGAGGAGTTCATCAGAATGTCCACAGGTCATGTTCTGAAGGAGGTGTTCATCAGAATGTCCACAGGTCATGTTCTGAAGGAGGAGTTCATCAGAATGTCCACAGGTCATGTTCTGAAGGAGGAGTTCATCAGAATGTCCACAGGTCATGTTCTGAAGGAGGTGTTCATCAGAATGTCCACAGGTCATGTTCTGAAGGAGGTGTTCATCAGAATGTCCACAGGTCATGTTCTGAAGGAGGAGTTCATCAGAATGTCCACAGGTCATGTTCTGAAGGAGGTGTTCATCAGAATGTCCACAGGTCATGTTCTGAAGGAGGAGGTCATCAGAATGTCCACAGGTCATGTTCTGAAGGAGGAGTTCATCAGAATGTCCACAGGTCATGTTCTGAAGGAGGTGTTCATCAGAATGTCCACAGGTCATGTTCTGAAGGAGGAGTTCATCAGAATGTCCACAGGTCATGTTCTGAAGGAGGTGTTCATCAGAATGTCCACAGGTCATGTTCTGAAGGAGGAGTTCATCAGAATGTCCACAGGTCATGTTCTGAAGGAGGTGTTCATCAGAATGTCCACAGGTCATGTTCTGAAGGAGGTGTTCATCAGAATGTCCACAGGTCATGTTCTGAAGGAGGAGGTCATCAGAATGTCCACAGGTCATGTTCTGAAGGAGGTGTTCATCAGAATGTCCACAGGTCATGTTCTGAAGGAGGTGTTCATCAGAATGTCCACAGGTCATGTTCTGAAGGAGGTGTTCATCAGAATGTCCACAGGTCATGTTCTGAAGGAGGTGTTCATCAGAATGTCCACAGGTCATGTTCTGAAGGAGGTGTTCATCAGAATGTCCACAGGTCATGTTCTGAAGGAGGTGTTCATCAGAATGTCCACAGGTCATGTTCTGAAGGAGGAGTTCATCAGAATGTCCACAGGTCATGTTCTGAAGGAGGTGTTCATCAGAATGTCCACAGGTCATGTTCTGAAGGAGGTGTTCATCAGAATGTCCACAGGTCATGTTCTGAAGGAGGTGTTCATCAGAATGTCCACAGGTCATGTTCTGAAGGAGGTGTTCATCAGAATGTCCACAGGTCATGTTCTGAAGGAGGTGTTCATCAGAATGTCCACAGGTCATGTTCTGAAGGAGGAGTTCATCAGAATGTCCACAGGTCATGTTCTGAAGGAGGTGTTCATCAGAATGTCCACAGGTCATGTTCTGAAGGAGGTGTTCATCAGAATGTCCACAGGTCATGTTCTGAAGGAGGTGTTCATCAGAATGTCCACAGGTCATGTTCTGAAGGAGGTGTTCATCAGAATGTCCACAGGTCATGTTCTGAAGGAGGAGTTCATCAGAATGTCCACAGGTCATGTTCTGAAGGAGGAGTTCATCAGAATGTCCACAGGTCATGTTCTGAAGGAGGTGTTCATCAGAATGTCCACAGGTCATGTTCTGAAGGAGGTGTTCATCAGAATGTCCACAGGTCATGTTCTGAAGGAGGTGTTCATCAGAATGTCCACAGGTCATGTTCTGAAGGAGGAGTTCATCAGAATGTCCACAGGTCATGTTCTGAAGGAGGTGTTCATCAGAATGTCCACAGGTCATGTTCTGAAGGAGGTGTTCATCAGAATGTCCACAGGTCATGTTCTGAAGGAGGAGTTCATCAGAATGTCCACAGGTCATGTTCTGAAGGAGGAGGTCATCAGAATGTCCACAGGTCATGTTCTGAAGGAGGAGTTCATCAGAATGTCCACAGGTCATGTTCTGAAGGAGGTGTTCATCAGAATGTCCACAGGTCATGTTCTGAAGGAGGTGTTCATCAGAATGTCCACAGGTCATGTTCTGAAGGAGGTGTTCATCAGAATGTCCACAGGTCATGTTCTGAAGGAGGTTTCATCAGAATGTCCACAGGTCATGTTCTGAAGGAGGTGTTCATCAGAATGTCCACAGGTCATGTTCTGAAGGAGGAGTTCATCAGAATGTCCACAGGTCATGTTCTGAAGGAGGTGTTCATCAGAATGTCCACAGGTCATGTTCTGAAGGAGGTGTTCATCAGAATGTCCACAGGTCATGTTCTGAAGGAGGTGTTCATCAGAATGTCCACAGGTCATGTTCTGAAGGAGGTGTTCATCAGAATGTCCACAGGTCATGTTCTGAAGGAGGTGTTCATCAGAATGTCCACAGGTCATGTTCTGAAGGAGGTGTTCATCAGAATGTCCACTGGTCATGTTCTGAAGGAGGAGTTCATCAGAATGTCCACAGGTCATGTTCTGAAGGAGGTGTTCATCAGAATGTCCACAGGTCATGTTCTGAAGGAGGAGTTCATCAGAATGTCCACAGGTCATGTTCTGAAGGAGGTGTTCATCAGAATGTCCACAGGTCATGTTCTGAAGGAGGTGTTCATCAGAATGTCCACAGGTCATGTTCTGAAGGAGGTGTTCATCAGAATGTCCACAGGTCATGTTCTGAAGGAGGTGTTCATCAGAATGTCCACAGGTCATGTTCTGAAGGAGGTGTTCATCAGAATGTCCACAGGTCATGTTCTGAAGGAGGTGTTCATCAGAATGTCCACAGGTCATGTTCTGAAGGAGGTGTTCATCAGAATGTCCACAGGTCATGTTCTGAAGGAGGTGTTCATCAGAATGTCCACAGGTCATGTTCTGAAGGAGGAGTTCATCAGAATGTCCACAGGTCATGTTCTGAAGGAGGAGTTCATCAGAATGTCCACAGGTCATGTTCTGAAGGAGGTGTTCATCAGAATGTCCACAGGTCATGTTCTGAAGGAGGTGTTCATCAGAATGTCCACAGGTCATGTTCTGAAGGAGGAGTTCATCAGAATGTCCACAGGTCATGTTCTGAAGGAGGTGTTCATCAGAATGTCCACTGGTCATGTTCTGAAGGAGGTGTTCATCAGAATGTCCACAGGTCATGTTCTGAAGGAGGTGTTCATCAGAATGTCCACAGGTCATGTTCTGAAGGAGGTGTTCATCAGAATGTCCACAGGTCATGTTCTGAAGGAGGAGGTCATCAGAATGTCCACAGGTCATGTTCTGAAGGAGGAGTTCATCAGAATGTCCACAGGTCATGTTCTGAAGGAGGTGTTCATCAGAATGTCCACAGGTCATGTTCTGAAGGAGGTGTTCATCAGAATGTCCACAGGTCATGTTCTGAAGGAGGTGTTCATCAGAATGTCCACAGGTCATGTTCTGAAGGAGGAGTTCATCAGAATGTCCACAGGTCATGTTCTGAAGGAGGTGTTCATCAGAATGTCCACAGGTCATGTTCTGAAGGAGGTGTTCATCAGAATGTCCACAGGTCATGTTCTGAAGGAGGAGTTCATCAGAATGTCCACAGGTCATGTTCTGAAGGAGGTGTTCATCAGAATGTCCACAGGTCATGTTCTGAAGGAGGTGTTCATCAGAATGTCCACAGGTCATGTTCTGAAGGAGGACCTCTCTGTAGCTGGACGTGGACTTTGATGGTTGAGATGTCTTGTTGTATCATGTTCATGTGTTTGTGTCGGACTCCACTTCACGTCAAAGCACTTCTTTCCTGTGTTTTTTAATGGTATGTGCTGCTCAAACAATGTGCTGGTGGGATAAATAAAGTAATCTGAATCTGAAGAAAGCTCGTCAGCGTCTCTACTTTCTGCGTAAACTTAGAGAATTTACCACTAACTCTAAGATTGTGCTTAACTTTTATGGCTGCACCATTGAGAGTTTACTTGTTGGTTCTGTGTCTGTGTGGTTTGGAAACATCACAGATAAAGAAAAGAGAGCTTTAAACAAGGTGCTCCGCTCTGCAAAGAGGACCGTGGGCTGTGAGCTTCCTGTTCTGGAGGTTCTTTATAAATCCAAACTTTTAAACAAAGCTCTTAGGATTGTTAATGACTCTTCTGGCCACCCTGGGAAAGCCATGTTCCAGCTTCTTCCCTCTGGCAGAAGATATCGCTCTCTGAGATGCAGGACATCTTGTTACACTAACAGTTTTTATCCACAGGCTGTTATCAGTGTGAACAGAGCACTTTAATGATTTGCACTTGTTTTGAAACTGTTTTAGTCGATCGATTTCACAGTGACATTTGTTTGTTTTATTTGTTTTATTTCTGTCTTTTATTGTTTTATGTCTGTATTTGTCTGTGCACACTGGAGACTTTTGCTAATATATTCCAATGTGGTTTTACTGCAAATGGCAAATAAACTGAATCTGGATCTGATATGTTATTCAGACTAAAGTTACAGACCTGAGCTTTAAACATGTGTTATTCAGACTAAAGTTACAGACCTGAGCTTTAAACATGTGTTATTCAGACTAAAGTTACAGACCTGAGCTTTAAACATGTGTTATTCAGACTAAAGTTACAGACCTGAGCTTTAAACATGTGTTATTCAGACTAAAGTTACAGACCTGAGCTTTAAACATGTGTTATTCAGACTAAAGTTACAGACCTGAGCTTTAAACATGTGTTATTCAGACTAAAGTTACAGACCTGAGCTTTAAACATGTGTTATTCAGACTAAAGTTACAGACCTGAGCTTTAAACATGTGTTATTTAGACTAAAGTTACAGACCTGAGCTTTAAACATGTGTTATTTAGACTAAAGTTACAGACCTGAGCTTTAAGTGTCCGGGTTTCTGATTGGTCCACGTTGGTTTACCGTAAGTTGAAACGGAAGCGCGCGTTGGTTTCCCACAGATATTGTTCGTCCTTTACTAACTAAGTCTGATTGACTGCATATATATAATTTACAAATGAAATAGATAATAAATAAATGAATTATACATGTATTCGGTTTGATTTGAGGAAGTTTATTTTCTTGCTTATGCATATTTTCTTTTTTTTATTTGTAATTTTCGCTGCGTGTTTTTACCGTAAGTTCCCGGATGTGATGTGGCCGAGCCAAAGATAAACACGTCTCCTCTGCTGCAAACCGCGGAATTAAAGCTTCGAAATCTGACGAAACGGGACTTTTGAGCAAAATGAAGTGGATCTGAAGCTTCCACTGCTGCTCTGCGTCTGACCCGTACCTCTGACCGCTTCCACCGGGAATCAGGCCTCATTTACGGCGGTAAGTTTAGACCTGCTGTTAGCATGTAGCAGCTAATTAGCTGTTAGCATCTCTGACAGCTGGGATTTGGATCAGTTACTGCGGTCTAACAGAGGCTCATGGGCACAAGGGCAGCGCGCAGGCACTGGGGGTAGAACCAGAAGACAGAACCTGCAGGCAGAACCAGCAGGCAGAACCTGCAGGCAGAACCAGCAGGCAGAACCAGGAGACAGAACCTGCAGGCAGAACCAGCAGGCAGAACCTGCAGGCAGAACCAGGAGACAGAACCTGCAGGCAGAACCAGCAGGCAGAACCAGCAGGCAGAACCAGGAGAGAGAACCTGCAGGCAGAACCAGCAGGCAGAACCAGGAGACAGAACCTGCAGGCAGAACCAGCAGGCAGAACCTGCAGGCAGAACCAGGAGACAGAACCTGCAGGCAGAACCTGCAGGCAGAACCAGCAGGCAGAACCAGGAGAGAGAACCTGCAGGCAGAACCAGCAGGCAGAACCAGGAGACAGAACCAGCAGGCAGAACCAGGAGAGAGAACCTGCAGGCAGAACCAGCAGGCAGAACCAGGAGAGAGAACCTGCAGGCAGAACCAGCAGGCAGAACCAGGAGACAGAACCTGCAGGCAGAACCAGCAAACAGAACCAGTGTGAGGATTTAATACTGGTCAGAGACCAGAGAGAGAGAGACCAGAGAGAGAGAGACCAGAGAGAGAGACCAGAGAGAGACCGACCAGAGAGAGAGACCAGAGAGAGACCAGAGAGAGAGACCAGAGAGAGACCAGAGAGAGAGAGAGACCAGAGAGAGACCAGAGAGAGACCAGAGAGAGACCAGAGAGAGAGACCAGAGAGAGACCAGAGAGAGAGAGAGACCAGAGAGAGACCAGAGAGAGAGACCAGAGAGAGACCAGAGAGAGACCAGAGAGAGAGAGAGAGACCAGAGAGAGAGAGAGAGAGAGAGACCAGAGAGAGAGAGAGACCAGAGAGAGACCAGAGAGAGAACTACAAACAGACAAATGGTAACCAGCATAATTTCACAGAAATGACTGAAACTAATGTTTGAGCAATAATTTTGTTTTAAAACACAAAACTGCTCTGAGAGTGATGTCACTGTGATGTCACTGTGATGTCACTGTGATGTCACTGTGAAGTCACCGTGAAGTCACTGTGATGTCACTGTGATGTCACTGTGATGTCACCGTGATGTCACCGTGATGTCACTGTGATGTCACTGTGATGTCACTGTGAAGTCACCGTGAAGTCACTGTGATGTCACTGTGATGTCACTGTGATGTCACTGTGATGTCACCGTGATGTCACCGTGATGTCACCGTGATGTCTCCGTGATGTCACCGTGATGTCACCGTGATGTCACTGTGATGTCACTGTGATGTCACTGTGATGTCACCGTGATGTCACCGTCATGTCACTGTCATGTCACTGTCATGTCACCGTGATGTCACCGTGATGTCACTGTGATGTCACTGTGATGTCACCGTGATGTCACCGTGATGTCACTGTCATGTCACCGTGATGTCACTGTGATGTCACCGTGATGTCACCGTGATGTCACCGTGATGTCACCGTGATGTCACCGTGATGTCACTGTGATGTCACTGTGATGTCACCGTGATGTCACTGTCATGTCACTGTCATGTCACCGTGATGTCACCGTGATGTCACCGTGATGTCACTGTGATCTCACTGTGATGTCACCGTGATGTCACTGTGATGTCACCGTGATGTCACCGTGATGTCACCGTGATGTCACTGTGATGTCACCGTGATGTCACTGTGATGTCACAGGAGCTTTCAGACAGAAGGAGCGGAGCTATGTGTTTGTGTCAGTAGTTACTGATGTTGGCGCGGATGGACAACTGAAAGTGAGAAAAAATACAGTTTTGCATGTTCTGCCAGTCGCTCACGTGCATCTCTTCATGACAGGTCCCCAGTCTCTAGTCCCTGGACTCCGGTCCCAGTCCCGGTCCAATGATGGTGCGTGCAGTCCTGGTCACGGCCTCCAGTCTGGCTCTGACGGCGGCGGTCGTAGCTCATGCTTATCTCCTGAAGCAGCAGTTCTACCCCACAGTGGTTTACCTCACCAAGAGCAGCCCCAGCATGGCCGTGAGTCCTGCTTTAATCCTGCTTTAGACCTGCTTTAGACCTGCTTTAGACCTGCTTTAATCCTGCTTTAGACCTGCTTTAGTCCTGCTTTAGACCTGCTTTAGACCTGCTTTAGACCTGCTTTAATCCTGCTTTAGACCTGCTTTAGTCCTGCTTTAGACCTGCTTTAGACCTGCTTTAGACCTGCTTTAGACCTGCTTTAGACCTGCTTAGTCCTGCTTTAGACCTGCTTCAGTCCTGCTTTAGACCTGCTTTAGACCTGCTTTAGACCTGCTTAGTCCTGCTTTAGACCTGCTTTAGACCTGCTTTAGACCTGCTTTAGACCTGCTTTAGTCCTGCTTTAGTCCTGCTTTAGACCTGCTTTAGTCCTGCTTTAGACCTGCTTTAGTCCTGCTTTAGACCTGCTTTAGACCTGCTTTAGACCTGCTTTAGTCCTGCTTTAGTCCTGCTTTAGACCTGCTTAGTCCTGCTTTAGACCTGCTTTAGGCCTGCTTTAGTCCTGCTTTAGACCTGCTTTAGACCTGCTTTAGACCTGCTTAGTCCTGCTTTAGACCTGCTTTAGACCTCATGGTTCCTTGTCCTCCAGGTCCTCTACATTCAGGCCTTTGTTCTGGTCTTTCTCTTGGGGAAGTTCATGAGGAAGGTGTTCTTTGGACAGCTCCGAGCGGCAGAGATGGAGGTAAATGTCTTAGAGAAAGACTCTCACTCTCTGGTCTCTCTGGTCTCTCTCTGGTCTCTCCCTGGTCTCTCCCTGGTCTCTCTCTGGTCTCTCCCTGGTCTCTCTGGTCTCTCTCTGGTCTCTCCCTGGTCTCGCTCTCCGGTCTCTCTCTGGTCTCTCTCTGGTCTCTCTCTGGTCTCTCTGGTCTCTCTCTGGTCTCTCCCTGGTCTCTCTGGTCTCTCTCTGGTCTCTCCCTGGTCTCTCTGGTCTCTCTCTGGTCTCTCCCTGGTCTCGCTCTCCGGTCTCTCTCTGGTCTCTCTCTGGTCTCTCCCTGGTCTCTCTGGTCTCTCCCTGGTCTCGCTCTCCGGTCTCTCTCTGGTCTCTCTCTGGTCTCTCCCTGGTCTCTCTGGTCTCTCCCTGGTCTCGCTCTCCGGTCTCTCTCTGGTCTCTCTCTGGTCTCTCTCTGGTCGGTCTCTGGTCCCTCTCAGGTCTCTCTCTCTGGTCTCTCTGGTCCCTCTCAGGTCTCTCTCTCTGGTCTCTCTGGTCTCTCTGGTCTCACTGGTCTCACTGGTCTCTCTGGTCCGCAGCACCTGGTAGAGCGTTCCTGGTATGCAGTGACAGAGACGTGCCTGGCCTTCACCGTGTTCAGAGACGACTTTTCTCCGCGCTTTGTGGCTCTGTTCACTCTGCTGCTGTTCCTCAAGTGTTTTCACTGGTTAGCAGAGGACCGCGTGGACTATGTGAGTCTGAGGACTATGTGAGTCTGAGGACTATGTGAGTCTGAGGACTATGTGAGTCTGAGGACTATGTGAGTCTGAGGACTATGTGAGTCTGAGGACTATTTGGGTCTGAGGACTATGTAACTCCGACTCAGAGTCTGACTCTGACACTGACACTGACTCTGACACTGACTGTGACTCTGACACTGACTCTGACACTGACTCTGACTCTGACTCTGACACTGACTGTGACTCTGACACTGACTCTGACACTGACTCTGACTCTGACTCTGACTCTGACACTGACTCTGACACTGACTCTGACTCTGACTCTGACTCTGACTCTGACACTGACTCTGACTCTGACTCTGACTCTGACTCTGACTCTGACTCTGACTCTGACACTGACTCTGACTCTGACACTGACTCTGACACTGACACTGACTCTGACTCTGACACTGACTCTGACACTGACTCTGACTCTGACTCTGACTCTGACTCTGACACTGACACTGACTCTGACACTGACTCTGACTCTGACTCTGACTCTGACTCTGACTCTGACACTGACTCTGACACTGACTCTGACTCTGACTCTGACACTGACTCTGACACTGACTCTGACACTGACTCTGACTCTGACACTGACTCTGACACTGACTGTGACTCTGACTCTGACTCTGACTCTGACACTGACTCTGACACTGACTCTGACACTGACTCTGACACTGACTCTGACACTGACTCTGACACTGACTGACTCTGACACTGACTCTGACTCTGACACTGACTCTGACTCTGACTCTGACACTGACTGACTCTGACTCTGACTCTGACTCTGACTCTGACACTGACACTGACTCTGACTCTGACTCTGACTCTGACACTGACTCTGACTCTGACACTGACTCTGACACTGACACTGACTCTGACTCTGACACTGACTCTGACACTGACTCTGACACTGACTCTGACTCTGACTCTGACTCTGACACTGACACTGACTCTGACACTGACTCTGACTCTGACTCTGACTCTGACACTGACTCTGACACTGACTCTGACACTGACTGTGACTCTGACACTGACTCTGACACTGACTCTGACTCTGACTCTGACTCTGACACTGACTCTGACACTGACTCTGACTCTGACTCTGACACTGACTCTGACTCTGACTCTGACTCTGACACTGACTCTGACACTGACACTGACTCTGACTCTGACTCTGACACTGACTCTGACACTGACTCTGACTCTGACACTGACTCTGACACTGACTGACTCTGACACTGACTCTGACTCTGACTCTGACTCTGACACTGACTCTGACTCTGACTCTGACACTGACTGACTCTGACTCTGACACTGACTCTGACTCTGACACTGACTCTGACTCTGACTCTGACACTGACTCTGACTCTGACACTGACTGACTCTGACTCTGACTCTGACTCTGACACTGACTCTGACACTGACTCTGACACTGACTGACTCTGACTCTGACTCTGACACTGACACTGACTCTGACTGACTCTGACTCTGACACTGACTCTGACTCTGACACTGACTCTGACACTGACTCTGACACTGACTCTGACTCTGACTCTGACTCTGACTCTGACTCTGACACTGACTCTGACTCTGACTCTGACTCTGACTCTGACTCTGACACTGACACTGACTCTGACTCTGACTCAGAGTCTGACACTGACTCTGACACTGACACTGACTCTGACTCTGACACTGACTCTGACACTGACTCTGACACTGACTCTGACACTGACTCTGACACTGACTCTGACTCTGACTCTGACACTGACTGACTCTGACTCTGACACTGACTCTGACTCTGACTCTGACACTGACTCTGACTCTGACACTGACTCTGACACTGACTCTGACACTGACTGACTCTGACTCTGACTCTGACTCTGACACTGACACTGACACTGACTCTGACTCTGACACTGACTCTGACTCTGACTCTGACTCAGAGTCTGACACTGACTCTGACACTGACACTGACACTGACTCTGACTCTGACACTGACACTGACTCTGACTCTGACACTGACACTGACTCTGACACTGACTCTGACACTGACTCTCACACTGACACTGACTCTGACTCTGACTCTGACTCTGACTCTGACACTGACTCTGACACTGACTCTGACACTGACTCTGACTCTGACTCTGACACTGACTCTGACACTGACTCTGACTCTGACACTGACTCTGACACTGACTCTGACACTGACTCTGACTCTGACACTGACTCTGACTCTGACTCTGACTCTGACTCTGACTGACTCTGACTCTGACTCTGACTCTGACTCTGACTCTGACACTGACTCTGACACTGACTGACTCTGACTCTGACACTGACTCTGACACTGACACTGACACTGACTGACTCTGACTCTGACTCTGACTCTGACACTGACTCTGACACTGACTGACTCTGACTCTGACTCTGACACTGACTCTGACTGACTCTGACTCTGACTCTGACACTGACACTGACACTGACTCTGACTCTGACTCTGACTCAGAGTCTGACACTGACTCTGACTCTGACTCTGACTCTGACACTGACTCTGACACTGACTCTGACACTGACTCTGACACTGACTCTGACACTGACTCTGACACTGACTCTGACACTGACTCTGACACTGACTCTGACACTGACTCTGACACTGACTCTGACACTGACTCTGACACTGACTCTGACTCTGACTCTGACACTGACTGACTCTGACTCTGACACTGACTCTGACTCTGACTCTGACACTGACTCTGACTCTGACACTGACTCTGACTCTGACACTGACTCTGACACTGACTCTGACACTGACACTGACTCTGACACTGACTCTGACACTGACTCTGACACTGACTCTGACACTGACTCTGACACTGACTCTGACTCTGACACTGACTGACTCTGACTCTGACACTGACTCTGACTCTGACACTGACTCTGACTCTGACACTGACTCTGACTCTGACACTGACTGACTCTGACACTGACTCTGACACTGACACTGACTCTGACACTGACACTGACTCTGACTCTGACTCTGACTCTGACTCTGACACTGACTCTGACTCTGACTCTGACTCAGAGTCTGACACTGACTCTGACACTGACTCTGACTCTGACACTGACTCTGACACTGACTCTGACACTGACTCTGACACTGACTCTGACACTGACTCTGACACTGACTCTGACACTGACTCTGACACTGACTCTGACACTGACTCTGACACTGACTCTGACACTGACTCTGACACTGACTCTGACACTGACTCTGACTCTGACTCTGACACTGACTGACTCTGACTCTGACACTGACTCTGACTCTGACACTGACTCTGACTCTGACTCTGACTCTGACTCTGACACTGACTGACTCTGACTCTGACTCTGACTCTGACACTGACACTGACACTGACTCTGACTCTGACTCTGACTCTGACACTGACTCTGACACTGACTCTGACACTGACTCTGACTCTGACTCAGAGTCTGACACTGACTCTGACACTGACTCTGACACTGACTCTGACACTGACTCTGACACTGACTCTGACTCTGACACTGACTCTGACACTGACTCTGACACTGACTCTGACACTGACTCTGACTCTGACTCTGACACTGACTCTGACACTGACTCTGACACTGACTCTGACTCTGAGTCTGACTCTGACTCTGACACTGACTCTGACACTGACTCTGACTCTGACACTGACACTGACACTGACTCTGACACTGACTCTGACTCTGACTCTGACTCTGACTCTCTGACTCTGACACTGACTCTGACACTGACTCTGACTCTGACTCTGACTCTGACTGACACTGACACTGACTCTGACACTGACTCTGACACTGACTCTGACACTGACTCTGACTCTGACTCTGACTCTGACTCTGACACTGACTCTGACACTGACTCTGACACTGACTCTGACACTGACTCAGAGTCTGACACTGACTCTGACACTGACTCTGACACTGACTCTGACTCTGACACTGACACTGACTCTGACACTGACTCTGACACTGACTCTGACACTGACTCTGACACTGACTCTGACTCTGACTCTGACTCTGACTCTGACACTGACTCTGACACTGACTCTGACACTGACTCTGACACTGACTCTGACACTGACTCTGACTCTGACTCTGACTCTGACTCTGACACTGACTCTGACACTGACTCTGACTCTGACTCTGACACTGACTCTGACACTGACTCTGACACTGACTCTGACACTGACTCTGACACTGACTCTGACACTGACTCTGACTCTGACTCTGACTCTGACTCTGACACTGACTCTGACACTGACTCTGACTCTGACACTGACTCTGACTCTGACACTGACTCTGACACTGACTCTGACACTGACTCTGACACTGACTCTGACTCTGACTCTGACTCTGACACTGACTCTGACACTGACTCTGACACTGACTCTGACACTGACTCTGACTCTGACTCTGACACTGACACTGACACTGACTCTGACTCTGAGTCTGACTCTGAGTCTGACACTGACTCTGACTCTGACACTGACACTGACACTGACTCTGACTCTGACTCTGACTCTGACTCAGAGTCTGACACTGACTCTGACACTGACACTGACACTGACTCTGACACTGACACTGACACTGACTCTGACACTGACACTGACTCTGACTCTGACACTGACTCTGACTCTGACTCTGACTCTGACACTGACACTGACACTGACTCTGACTCTGAGTCTGACACTGACTCTGACTCTGACACTGACACTGACACTGACACTGACTCTGACTCTGACTCTGACACTGACTCTGACTCTGAGTCTGACACTGACACTGACTCTGACACTGACTCTGACACTGACACTGACACTGACTCTGACTCTGACTCTGACACTGACTCTGACTCTGAGTCTGACACTGACACTGACTCTGACACTGACTCTGACACTGACTCTGACACTGACTCTGACACTGACTCTGACTCTGACTCTGACACTGACACTGACACTGACTCTGACACTGACTCTGACACTGACTCTGACACTGACTCTGACTCTGACTCTGACACTGACTCTGACACTGACTCTGACTCAGAGTCTGACACTGACTCTGACACTGACTCTGACACTGACTCTGACTCTGACTCTGACTCAGAGTCTGACACTGACACTGACTCTGACACTGACTCTGACTCTGACTCTGACTCTGACACTGACTCTGACACTGACTCTGACTCTGACTCTGACTCTGACTCTGACTCTGACACTGACTCTGACACTGACTCTGACACTGACTCTGACACTGACACTGACTCTGACTCTGACACTGACACTGACTCTGACACTGACACTGACTCTGACTCTGACTCAGAGTCTGACTCTGACACTGACACTGACTCTGACACTGACTCTGACTCTGACACTGACACTGACACTGACTCTGACACTGACACTGACTCTGACTCTGACACTGACTCTGACACTGACTCTGACTCTGACTCTGACACTGACACTGACACTGACTCTGACTCTGAGTCTGACACTGACTCTGACTCTGACACTGACACTGACTCTGACTCTGACTCAGAGTCTGACACTGACTCTGACACTGACTCTGACTCTGACTCTGACTCTGACTCAGAGTCTGACTCTGACACTGACACTGACTCTGACACTGACTCTGACTCTGACACTGACACTGACACTGACTCTGACACTGACACTGACTCTGACTCTGACTCTGACACTGACTCTGACTCTGACTCTGACTCTGACACTGACACTGACACTGACTCTGACTCTGAGTCTGACACTGACTCTGACTCTGACTCTGACACTGACACTGACACTGACTCTGACTCTGACTCTGACTCAGAGTCTGACACTGACTCTGACACTGACACTGACACTGACTCTGACTCTGACTCTGACACTGACTCTGACTCTGAGTCTGACACTGACTCTGACTCTGACACTGACACTGACACTGACTCTGACTCTGACTCAGAGTCTGACACTGACTCTGACACTGACACTGACTCTGACTCTGACTCTGACTCTGACTCTGACTCTGACTCAGAGTCTGACACTGACTCTGACACTGACACTGACTCTGACTCAGACTCAGACTCTGACTCAGAGTCTGACACTGACTCTGACACTGACTCTGACTCTGACACTGACTCTGACACTGACACTGACTCTGACTCTGACGTCTGTGTGTGTGTGTGTGTGTGACGTCTGTGTGTGTGTGTTTGTGTTTGTGTTATGTGTATGTGTGTGACGTGTGTGTGTGTGTGTCTCTCTGTGTGTGTGTGTGTATGTGTGTGACGTGTGTGTGTGTGTGTGTGTTATGTGTATGTGTGTGTGTGTTATGTGTATGTTATGTGTGTGTGTTATGTGTATGTTATGTGTGTGTGTGTGACGTCTGTGTGTGTTATGTGTTTGTGTTTGTGTTATGTGTATGTGTGTGACGTGTGTATGTGTGTGTGACGTCTGTATGTGTGTGTGACCTCTGCTTCCTGTTTCAGATGGAGCGCAGTCCAAACATCTCCTGGCTCTTCCACATGAGAGTTTTATGTGAGTAGAAAGTGTGTGTGTCTGCTTGTCTTGGCTAATGCTAACGAGCTAATGTGCCAGTTAGCATTAGCATATGCTCGTTAGCATTAGCATATGTTTATAGTTATTGGAAAATGCCTTCAAACTTTGATGCAAATGTCTCTTTTATAGAAGAGGTTATTACATGATCTTTGATGGTTTTGATCTTTGATGTCATTGATCTTTGATGGTTTTGATCTTTGATTGTATTGATCTTTGATGGTTGGCCCTCAGCCTTGATGGTCCTCCTCGCCATCATGGACTTCCTGTTTGTGAGCCACGCCTGCCACAGCATCATCACCAGAGGAGCCTCTGTACAACTGGTCTTTGGATTTGAGGTTAGTCTCATTTATATACACAGAGACCAGCAGGAGAGAGACCAGCAGGAGAGAGACCAGGAGGAGACCAGGAGGAGAGAGACCAGGAGGAGACCAGGAGGAGACCAGGAGGAGACCAGGAGGACAGAGACCAGGAGGACAGAGACCAGCAGGACAGAGACCAGCAGGACAGAGACCAGGAGGAGAGAGACCAGGAGGAGACCAGGAGGAGACCAGGAGGAGACCAGGAGGAGAGAGACCAGGAGGAGACCAGGAGGAGACCAGGAGGAGACCAGGAGGAGACCAGGAGGAGACCAGGAGGAGACCAGGAGGAGAGAGACCAGGAGGAGACCAGGAGGAGAGAGACCAGGAGGAGAGAGACCAGGAGGAGACCAGGAGGAGACCAGGAGGAGACCAGCAGGAGACCAGCAGGAGGAGAGACCAAGAGGAGAGAGACCAGGAGGAAACCAGGAGGAAACCAGGAGGAAACCAGGAGGAAACCAGGAGGAGACCAGGAGGAGAAAGACCAGGAGAAGAAGAGACCAGGAGGAGAGAGACCAGGAGGAGACCAAGAGGAGAGAGACCAGGAGAAAGACCAGGAGAAAGACCAGGAGAAAGACCAGGAGAAAGACCAGGATAAAGACCAGGATAAAGACCAGGAGAAAGACCAGGAGAAGAAGAGACCAGGAGAAGAAGAGACCAGGAGGAGACCAGCAGGAGACCAGGAGGAGACCAAGAGGAGAGAGACCAGGAGGAGACCAGCAGGAGAAAGACCAGGAGGAGAGAGACCAGCAGGAGATAGACCAGGAGGAGGGAGACCAGGAGGAGGGAGACCAGGAGGAGGGAGACCAGGAGGAGGGAGACCAGGAGGAGGGAGACCAGGAGGAGACCAGCAGGAGAAAGACCAGGAGGAGAAAGACCAGGAGGAGAAAGACCAGGAGGAGAAAGACCAGGAGGAGAAAGACCAGGAGGAGAAGAGACCAGGAGGAGAAGAGACCAGGAGGAGGGAGACCAGCAGGAGATAGACCAGGAGGAGGGAGACCAGGAGGAGGGAGACCAGGAGGAGGGAGACCAGGAGGAGGGAGACCAGGAGGAGGGAGACCAGGAGGAGGGAGACCAGAAGGAGGGAGACCAGGAGGAGACCAGCAGGAGAAAGACCAGGAGGAGAAAGACCAGGAGGAGAAAGACCAGGAGGAGAAAGACCAGGAGGAGAAGAGACCAGGAGGAGCGAGACCAGGAGGAGCGAGACCAGAGTGAGACCAGAGTGAGACCAGAGTGAGACCAGAGTGAGACCAGAGTGAGACCAGAGTGAGACCAGAGAGTCAATGTGTGTGTGTGTTGCAGTATGTACATGTGTGTGTGTGTGTGTGTTGCAGTATGTACATGTGTGTGTGTGTGTGTGTTGCAGTATGTACATGTGTGTGTGTGTTGCAGTATGTACATGTGTGTGTGTGTGTGTGTGTGTTGCAGTATGTACATGTTTGTGTGTGTGTTGCAGTATGTACGTGTGTGTGTGTGTGTGTTGCAGTATGTACATGTGTGTGTGTGTGTGTGTGTTGCAGTATGTACATGTTTGTGTGTGTGTTGCAGTATGTACATGTGTGTGTGTGTGTTGCAGTATGTACATGTGTGTGTGTGTGTGTGTTGCAGTATGTACATGTGTGTGTGTGTTGCAGTATGTACATGTGTGTGTGTGTGTGTGTGTTGCAGTATGTACATGTTTGTGTGTGTGTTGCAGTATGTACGTGTGTGTGTGTGTGTTGCAGTATGTACATGTGTGTGTGTGTGTTGCAGTATGTACATGTTTGTGTGTGTGTGTGCAGTATGTACATGTGTGTGTGTGTGTGTGTGTTGCAGTATGTACGTGTGTGTGTGTGTTGCAGTATGTACATGTGTGTGTGTGTGTGTGTGTGTTGCAGTATGTACATGTGTGTGTGTGTGTGTGTGTTGCAGTATGTACATGTGTGTGTGTGTGTCTGTTGCAGTATGTACATGTGTGTGTGTGTGTGTGTGTTGCAGTATGTACAGTGCCTTGCGAAAGTATTCGGCCCCCTTGAACCTTTCAACATTTCGCCACATTTCAGGCTTCAAACATAAAGATATAACATTTTAATTTTTTGTCATGAATCAACAACAAGTGGGACACAATCGTGAAGTGGAACGAAATTTATTGGATAATTTAAACTTTTTTAACAAATAAAAACTGAAAAGTGGGGCGTGCAATATTATTCGGCCCCTTTACTTTCAGTGCAGCAAACTCAGTCCAGAAGTTCAGTGAGGATCTTTGAATGATCCAATGTTGTCCTAAATGACTGATGACGATAAATAGAATGCACCTGTGTGTAATCAAGTCTCCGTATAAATGCACCTGCTCTTTGATAGTCTCAGGGTTCTGTTTAAAGCACAGAGAGAACCATGAAGACAAAGGAACACACCAGGCAGGTCCGAGATACTGTTGTGAAAGTTTAAAGCCGGATTTGGATACAAAAAGATTTCCCAAGCTTTAAACATCTCAAGGAGCACTGTGCAAGCAATTATATTGAAATGGAAGGAGTATCAGACCACTGCAAATCTACCAAGACCCGGCCGTCCCTCCAAACTTTCATCTCAAACAAGGAGAAGACTGATCAGAGATGCAGCCAAGAGGCCCATGATCACTCTGGATGAACTGCAGATAACTACAGCTGAGGTGGGAGAGTCTGTCCATAGGACAACAATCAGTCGTGCACTGCACAAATCTGGCCTTTATGGAAGAGTGGCAAGAAGAAAGCCATTTCTCAAAGATATCCATAAAAAGTCTGGTTTAAAGTTTGCCACAAGCCACCTGGGAGACACACCAAACATGTGGAAGAAGGTGCTCTGGTCAGATGAAACCAAAATCAAACTTTTTGGCCACAATGCAAAACAATATGTTTGGTGTAAAAGCAACACAGCTCATCACCCTGAACACACCATCCCCACTGTCAAACATGGTGGTGGCAGCATCATGCTTTGGGCCTGCTTTTCTTCAGCAGGGACAGGGAAGATGGCTAAAATTGATGGGAAGATGGATGGAGCCAAATTCTGGAAGAAAACCTGTTGGAGTCTGCAAAAGACCTGAGACTGGGACGGAGATTTATCTTCCAACAGGACAATGATCCAAAACATAAAGCCAAATCTACAATGGAATGGTTCACAAATAGACGTATCCAGGTGTTAGAATGGCCAAGTCAAAGTCCAGACCTGAATCCAATCCAGAATCTGTGGAAAGAGCTGAAGACTGCTGTTCACAAACGCTCTCCATCCAACCTCACTGAGCTCCAGCTGTTTTGCAAGGAAGAATGGGAAAGAATTCCAGTCTCTCGATGTGCAAAACTGATAGAGACATACCCCAAGCGACTTGCAGCTGTAATTGCAGCAAAAGGTGGCGCTACAAAGTATTAGCGCAAGGGGCCGAATAATATTGCACGCCCCACTTTTCAGTTTTTTTTTTTTTTTTTTTATATTTAGATTTTTATTAAGAAAAGGGTCACAACATTACAAAAACGTATCATCGATATTTTTTTATTTTGTAATCCTTCTCACATTTTAGTAATAATGTAAATTATAAAGAAATTATAAAGGGGGCGACAGTAGCTCAGTTGGTAGAGCATTGGCCTTAAGGCCAGAAGGTCGTGGGTTCAATTCCCACCTCTGCACCTTCTCCATCGACTCCCACTGATGACTGCTGTCGTTGTGTCCTTGGGCAAGACACTTAACCCCACTTTGCCCAAAGCCCCCACTGAAAGATCAAGGCTATGCTCACTCAGAGAGCAGCCGTCCTCCTGTGGACTCACCACCTGCAGAGGGTCAGTGAGGGGCTGGTGCTATGAGACTTGGGTGCATCTCTGACTGCCACCCCCCTGACCCAGAAATGGATTAAAGGGTAGAAAATGGATGGATGGATAAAGAAAAACTAAATAAAATAAAAGTAAAAAACAAAACAAAAGGAAGCAGAACAAAACCAATGGGTGCCTAGAATTTCAATTTCTTACTTGTTACAACAAAAGGAAAACATGTTTTTACAATAAACATCAGATGCAATTAGAATCAAGAAAAGTCCTTTCGGGGGGGGGGAAATAAAATCGATCCATTTGTTCCAAATTGCGTAGAATGTATCCATTTGTGTTCGTAAAGGGTATGTCAATTTTTCCATTTTGAATATTTCTAAAATTGTCCCATACCAGTCCTCTAGTGATGGTGGTGTTGAATTCAGCCATTTTCTAGTAACAGATTTTTTACTTGCAGCCAAAAGAGCCTGCAGCAGCCTTATGTCTCCCCCCAAACCAATGCTGGAGCCAAACCCAAATACAAACATGCTCCTGGAAGACCTTATTCAATGTTTTATGGACTCCCACCCAGTATTGTTTTAAAACACTCCCAGAATATATGAAAATGGTTTGCCTCCGAGGAACCACATTTTCTCCTGCACTCTGCTGTTTTGTTCCTAAATTTACTTTGCTGTGGCGATATAAAGTATCTTGTGGCATTTTTCCAGCAGTGCTCTCGCCAGTTCAAAGAATTGGTTGAAGTCCATTGAAAGAGGCTCCTCCCAATCCCCATCAGAGATATTAATTTGTGCTTCTTGTTCCCACTTATTCTTAATGTGTGTGGTATTATCCTTTTTTGCATTTAATAATCCATTGTATAACTTTGAGATTGCCTTCCTTATCGAATCACTGTGAGCTGATTTTAAGAACTTGAAGAAGTCTGCCTCCACTGCTGTTAGGTTTGAGTTTTTACAATGTTTGTTGTAATAATCCCTCATCTGGAGGAACCTGAAGAAATCTGCTCCAAACCAAAGTCTGATTGCAGGGACTGAAAGCTGCGCAATGCTCCTTTGTGTGTGAATGAGAGGTATGTAGTTAATTGTTTCTCAATCCAGGCGTGGAACCTTTTATCAGTTTTGTTCGGCTGGAAATCTGAATCATAAGCGACCCAACGAAAGTTGTTCAGAACACCACCAATGTCACAAACTCTGGCTACTTTATGCCACACTTTTAACGATCAATCCAAAAGCTTAAACCTTCCACCTGCTCAGCCAGGTGGTTGTCCGCAATCACTGCTGATAAAGGGATTTTTGATAAACTAGTTTCTATTGTCTTCCAATTGGCTTGGTAGTGCGGGTTACACCAATACAGTATAGTAATAATCTGCGAAGCATAGTAATAATACTGTAAACATGGGAGTGATGCTCCACCTCTAGCTTTTTGTAATTGTAGAACATTATATCTGATTCTCGTTTTTTTCCCCTGCCATATAAAGCGAGAAATCCACTTGTCCCATTCCTTAAACTGACTCTCACTCACAATAATTGGTAGTGTTCTGAACAAGTAAAGCAGGCGCGGGAGTATATTCATTTTGACTGCAGTAATTCTTGAATTTAGATTAAGAAACGGGACAAGATTCCACCTCTGAATGTCAGATTTAATTGCTAATGATAATGGATCGTAGTTTAATTGGAATAACTTAGAAATGTCCTTAGTTAGATTTATACCCAAGTATTTTAGAGATACTGCCTCCCAATCCAGATTGTATTTTTCCTTAAGAGGTTTTGAAACACTGTAATTGAAAGCCATTACTTGAGTTTTGGATACATTTAGCTTGTAACCAGACATCCTCCCAAAACTATTTAGCAAATACATCAACCTCACAAATGATTCCCCAGGCTCCTCCAGAAACACTAGGACATCGTCTGCAAACATTGCCACTTTTTGTTCTTTCTCTGCCACCTTTACCCCCTTTATATCCTCAGATTGTCGTATCCATTGACCCAGAGGCTCAATGTAGAGTGCAAATAGCAGGGGAGAAATCGGACATCCCTGTCTCGTTCCCTGCTCCAGAGGAAACGAGCCAGAGACATCTCCATTTATCTTTACCCGGGCTATCGGCTTACTGTAAAGGGACATTATTATAGAAATGAAGTTATCATCAAAACCAAACCCATTCAGTGACTTATAGAGAAAAACCCATCTGACAGAATCAAAGGCTTTTTCAGCATCCAATCCTACCAGGACCGCCTTGGACTTGTCCTTGTGGATCTGTCCAATCACATGTAAAGCGCGCCGTATATTGTCTGAGGTCTGTCTCTGTTGAATAAAACCACATTGGTCAAGATGAATTAGTGCAGGTAGAACTTTTTCCAACCTTCTTGCTATTATTGCTGTGAAAATTGTATAATCTAAGTTGAGTACACTAATTGGACGATAACTGCTGCAATTTTGCTTATCCTTGCCTTCCTTTGGTATTACAGAAATAATAGCCTCGTTCCACGATGGGGGAATTCTTCTATTTAATATAATCCAGTTAAAGGTGCGAAGTAGAACAGGTGACAATTCTTCTTTAAATGTTTTATAGCACTCAGTGGTGTAACCGTCTGAGCCTGGTGCCTTCCCAGCCTTTAATTTAGAAATAGCCAGATAAAGTTCATTGACTGTTATAGCTTGCACCAGTCCTGCATTTTGAAAGTTTGTTAATTTTGGTAAATGTAATGTTTTCAGAAAATCTTCTATATTTAGCTCATTAGACAATCGGGGTTGTGAATACAAGTCTTTATAGAATAGTTCAAAACTCTCCTGGATCTTTTCAAGTTTATTTTCCACTGTTTTAGTAAATGGGTGTTTTATTTTGTAAATTGCACTTTCCACTCTCTGCTTACGTAGCTTGTATGCTAGTAACTTGGCTGATTTACCCCCGATTTCATAATATTTTTGTTTGAGAAAGACCATTTTTTTCTGAGTGTCCTGTAAATAAATGTTGTCAATTTCACTCCTAATCCCTTTAATTTCCTCTTTTATCCTGCTATTACCACTACTGCTATCAACCTGTTGTAATCGCTTTAATTTTCCTTGAAGATCAGTTAATTTTTGTGTCCTCTTTTTTTTTTTTAAATGAGAAGTTAGTGAAATAACCTTTCCTCTCATTACTGCCTTTAAGGCGTCCCACAACATGATCTGTGACACTTCACCGCTGTCATTCAAATCCAAATAGCTTTTGATGTCTCCCTTCAACTCTTCTCTCAGTTTTGGATCATTGAGAATATTTGTGTTTAGTAGTAGTAATACTACTCTTCTAACCTTTTTTTCTAAGACGACCGATAGAGAAATAGGGCTGTGGTCTGAAAGGTCAATTGTCTTGATCTTACAGTCTCTCACTCTGTGAACATCATTCTTGAACATAAAGAAATAGTCTATTCTTGAATAGACACGGTGAGGGCATGAGTAGTGAGTATAATCTCTACTCCTAGGGTATAGTTCTCTCCAAATATCAGTGATTCCCAGTTCTTTCATCAATGAATTAACCTTTTTAGTTAGAGTATTTTCTTTATTCTGTGGGTTTGAAGCATCCAATTTTGGATACAACTTAATATTGAAATCTCCCCCACAAATAACTATACCCTGGGAATTCACCATAAGATCAAAAACTTGCTTGACTTTTCAGTTTTTTATTTGTTAAAAAAAGTTGAAATTATCCAATAAATTTCATTCCACTTCATGATTGTGTCCCACTTGTTGTTGATTCATGACAAAAAAGATATTTTTTATATCTTTGTGTTTGAAGCCTGAAATGCGGCGAAAGGTTCAAGGGGGCCGAATACTTTCGCAAGGCACTGTACATGTGTCTGTGTGTGTGTTGCAGTATGTACATGTGTGTGTGTGTGTTGCAGTATGTACATGTGTGTGTGTGTGTTGCAGTATGTACATGTGTGTGTGTGTGTGTTGCAGTATGTACATGTGTGTGTGTGTGTTGCAGTATGTACATGTGTGTGTGTGTGTTGCAGTATGTACGTGTGTGTGTGTGTTTGCAGTATGTACATGTGTGTGTGTGTGTGTGTGTTGCAGTATGTACATGTGTGTGTGTGTGTGTGTGTGTTGCAGTATGTACATGTGTGTGTGTGTGTGTGTGTTGCAGTATGTACATGTGTGTGTGTGTGTGTGTTGCAGTATGTACATGTGTGTGTGTGTGTTGCAGTATGTACGTGTGTGTGTGTGTGTGTGTTGCAGTATGTACATGTGTGTGTGTGTGTTGCAGTATGTACATGTGTGTGTATGTGTGTGTGTTGCAGTATGTACATGTGTGTGTGTGTGTTGCAGTATGTACGTGTGTGTGTGTGTGTGTGTTGCAGTATGTACATGTGTGTGTGTGTTGCAGTATGTACATGTGTGTGTGTGTGTGTGTGTTGCAGTATGTACATGTGTGTGTGTATGTGTGTGTGTTGCAGTATGTACATGTGTGTGTGTGTGTTGCAGTATGTACATGTGTGTGTGTGTGTGTGTGTGTTGCAGTATGTACATGTGTGTGTGTGTTGCAGTATGTACATGTGTGTGTGTGTTGCAGTATGTACATGTGTGTGTGTGTGTGTGTGTGTGTGTGTGTGCAGTATGTACATGTGTGTGTGTGTGTGTGTGTGTTGCAGTATGTACATGTGTGTGTGTGTGTGTGTGTTGCAGTATGTACATGTGTGTGTGTGTGTGTGTTGCAGTATGTGCGTGTGTGTGTGTGTGTGTGTGTTGCAGTATGTGCGTGTGTGTGTGTGTGTGTGTGTTGCAGTATGTACATGTGTGTGTGTGTGTGTGTTGCAGTATGTACATGTGTGTGTGTGTGTGTGTTGCAGTATGTACATGTGTGTGTGTGTGTGTGTTGCAGTATGTACATGTGTGTGTGTGTGTGTGTTGCAGTATGTACATGTGTGTGTGTGTGTGTGTTGCAGTATGTACATGTGTGTGTGTGTGTGTTGCAGTATGTACATGTGTGTGTGTGTGTGTGTTGCAGTATGTACATGTGTGTGTGTGTGTGTGTGTTGCAGTATGTACATGTGTGTGTGTGTGTGTTGCAGTATGTACATGTGTGTGTGTGTGTGTGTTTGCAGTATTGTACATGTGTGTGTGTGTGTGTGTGTGTGTGTGTGTGTTGCAGTATGTACATGTGTGTGTGTGTGTGTGTTGCAGTATGTACATGTGTGTGTGTGTGTGTTGCAGTATGTACATGTGTGTGTGTGTGTGTGTGTGTGTGTGTGTGTGTGCAGTATGTACATGTGTGTGTGTGTGTGTGTGTTGCAGTATGTACATGTGTGTGTGTGTGTGTGTGTGTGTGTTGCAGTATGTACATGTGTGTGTGTGTGTGTGTTGCAGTATGTACATGTGTGTGTGTGTTGCAGTATGTACATGTGTGTGTGTGTGTTGCAGTATGTACATGTGTGTGTGTGTGTGTGTGTGTTGCAGTATGTACATGTGTGTGTGTGTGTGTTGCAGTATGTACATGTGTGTGTGTGTGTGTGTGTGTGTTGAAGTATGTACATGTGTGTGTGTGTGTGTGTGTGTTTGCAGTATGTACATGTGTGTGTGTGTGTGTTGCAGTATGTACATGTGTGTGTGTGTGTGTGTGTGTGTGTGTTGCAGTATGTACATGTGTGTGTGTGTGTGTGTTGCAGTATGTACATGTGTGTGTGTGTGTGTGTTTGCAGTATGTACATGTGTGTGTGTGTGTGTGTTGCAGTATGTACATGTGTGTGTGTGTGTGTGTTGTTGCAGTATGTACATGTGTGTGTGTGTGTTGCAGTATGTACATGTGTGTGTGTGTGTGTGTGTGTTGCAGTATGTACATGTGTGTGTGTGTGTTGCAGTATGTACATGTGTGTGTGTGTGTGTTGCAGTATGTACATGTGTGTGTGTGTGTGTGTGTTGCAGTATGTACGTGTGTGTGTGTGTGTTGCAGTATGTACATGTGTGTGTGTGTGTGTGTGTGTTGCAGTATGCGATCCTTCTGACCATGGTCCTCACAACGTTCATAAAGTACGTGCTGCACTCGGTGGATCTGCAAAGTGACAACCCCTGGGACAACAAGGCTGTCTACATGTTATACACAGAACTGCTCACAGGTACACACTGCTCACAGGTACACACTGATCATAGGGACAACAAGGCTGTCTACATGTTATACACAGAACTGCTCACAGGTACACACTGCTCACAGGTACACACTGATCATAGGGACAACAAGGCTGTCTACATGTTATACACAGAACTGCTCACAGGTACACACTGCTCACAGGTACACACTGATCATAGGGACAACAAGGCTGTCTACATGTTATACACAGAACTGCTCACAGGTACACACTGATCATAGGGACAACAAGGCTGTCTATATGCTATACACAGAACAGCTCACAGGTACAGACTGATCATAGGTACAGACTGCTCACATGTACGGAACTGTTGACAGGTAAAGACTGGATAGGGACCGGACTACAGCAGGACTAAAGCAGGACTAAAGCAGGTCTAAAGCAGGTCTAAAGCAGGACTAAAGCAGGACTAAAGCAGGTCTAAAGCAGGTCTAAAGCAGGACTAAAGCAGGTCTAAAGCAGGTCTAAAGCAGGTCTAAAGCAGGTCTAACGCAGGTCTAAAGCAGGACTAAAGCAGGTCTGTGTTGCAGGTTTCATCAAAGTCCTCCTGTACATCGCCTTCATGACGATCATGATCAAAGTGCACACGTTCCCTCTGTTCGCCATCAGACCCATGTACCTGTCCATGAGGTGAGGCCTGTCTTATACCTTATATTTTTATAGAAAATAATGAACTTTATCTCAATATGCCAAGGGTCAGTGAATATCAATAGAAAATGTTTTATTCGAGATTTTACAGTACCCGTATATTAAAATACACATCAGTACAGGCTTGCCATGGACTATAATATAAATACTAGATCCCAAATGCAATACAATCTACTACTTTCTAGAACTTTTTAGACCATTTTAGAATCTGAAAATGCATTTGACCAATTGATTATTGAATTATTTAGTAACTCAATCAAAAGGTCATCATTTCAGATTCAACAATCTGAGCAGAAGGGAAAGTACTCGTTATTAGCTAGAGGCGCACACAGTCGTCTCCCCTTGGGACCACACGTCACTCTTCCACTGACTGCAGTCGTGTGCTGTGTGGCACTCGGCATCAAATATTCAAACTCTATGCATACATAGAAATGGAGCTGGGAGATAATGACACAAATGTGAATATGAATAATTATCCAATATTTTTGTGTGTTAAAACATGCCTGTAGAATTATACAAATATAAAAAAAAAAATCTGCAAAACAATTTGTTCATTTGAAAGATTATACCTCCCTGATTATCTCATCCCAAATATCTATTTCAATATTATTATTATGATCATTATTATTATTTTGAGTTGTGCGGTCCTGTGTTTCCATTATTTCATTTTTTGTAAAATCATAATCACCATCATCATTATTGTTAAATTGCCAACATCTAAACATAACAGAATGCATTGTTCTCCATTTCTATATATATTTTTTTCTTTATATTTTTTATTATTATTTTAGACTTTATCAAGGACTCACATGCTGCGGCATGTGAGTTGCGGCACGGTGGCTGAGTGGATAGCACTCTCGCCTCTCAGCAAGAAGGTCCTGGGTTCGAATCCCGGTCGGACCAGGGCCTTTCTGAGTGGAGTTTGCATGTTCTCCCCGTGTCTGCGTAGGTTTCCTCCGGGTGCTCCGGTTTCCCCTACCACTAAAAATATGTCCAATAGTTCTAGCATGCGCTTCCTGTACTGGCGACCCCGCTCCCATCTCTGTGTGGAGTGAGAGACAAATGCCCAAAATTAACAATTGTAAACCGCTTTGAGACTCAGATCTGCAGTGAAAAGGCGGTATATAAATAAAAACTTACAAACTTACAAACTTACATGCAAGCACAGATATATTTTGCCCCACTTTAATTATCTACTTTTGTTTTCTAGGTTCAAGTGCACCGCTTTTACAAATAAATTCCATAATGCCAGCGGCCGTGTTGAATAATGAACTCATAGATCCTCATAAGCACATACAACAGTGTACAATGTATTGACCTTTCCCTTGTGGCAGTCCTGGAGCCACTGGCGCAGTCGGATGAGACAGCTCTCCTGCAGAGGTGTTAAATCGCCTAGGTAACGCCTGATGTAGTCGGCATCCAGCTTGTCTGCAAGTCATACATAAATATACATAATGAGAATGAGCGCCCCACACCGGCTCCGGGTGTCTGCATTAGATCTGTGCACTTTAAAAGGGGCAGACCCAATTACAAATATTGAAATCACAGTATTTTTGTGTCAAATGTCAAGCTTCTCCCACTGTTTTATTAAACATTTCTACCATTTTAGAAACGTTTCACTGTACCCAATACCATTAATCAGAACTACATTTGTGTGTTTATTTATTTCAGAAGCATTAGCAATTCATTTCTACTCCTTAATTTGTATTATTGTGCACGTTTCATTATGTTTTAGGTCAAATGAACTCTTTAGTGTTAGTAAGCACAATAGAATGAATAACATTCTATGAGAGTCAGGACAGTCTTTTTTTAGACTTATCATTAGAATTTGAAGATCTCTGATGATTTATCACTTTCTCATGGACCTATGAAGATGATGTGCTACTCGTTCTTAGTTTGCTGGGAGAAGTACTTGAGCACTATCTTTTCCTTGCTACTTTATCTGTCTGCATTATTAGGTTTTTGTCTGCAGTCTGTTCATTGCTATTCCCCCATTGTCCCATTGTCTGTTTCAAGGCGAGACGATGGGAGATGGGACCCCTGTACCCGCTAGACTGTTAGTGGTCTAACAAGAAGGACTGTGGTTATGATCCAGGACGCTCTAACATTCTACAGCATTTATGGACATTTATCAACATGGACATTGATCAACTCTCCCTATGGACCAATACCTATGTGTTTTATATTTTTTGTGTTTGAAATGTGTGATTCTCTGATCTGTGTTGGCAATTTCAACAGTTTTGTTAAGTCCTTTGAGATAACTACTGTTGTGATCTAGGGCTGTACAAGAATACATTGAATTGAATTGAATTGAAGTTAGTACTAGTAGTTACAAGCTAGCCAGAAACCACAATGTAAACCAGGGCCAAAGCTCATCTAATTGCCACAATAGACAAACCATCTTATTGAAGACATGGTTGCATTTACTTTCCACAAATCCATCCCACTAAACAAAGTAATATATGAAATAATAAAATAAATAATTGAAGTAATTTCTCCTAATAATTTGTCAACCACTGTAACCCTGATAACATGTGATGCAGTGTTTTTTGGACAGATGTTGTAGTGTGCAGATCGAACCATCGGGGGAGCCAGCGAGCTCAGTGGGGCAGGAGCTGGGTGGGTCTCGGGGAAAGGTCACTGGGATGGCTGCTGTGGGGGAGGAGAGGGCAGGGGGTGTCCAGCGGGGTATAAACGTAATGCCCTCCTGCTCCATCTCTGTGAGGTAGTACTCGATAATCTCTTTACCCTGAAAATAGTAAATACAAATTTTTGGACACTCAAAGATGCTTCACATGTCATTATTCTTTCACTCCATACACAATGTATGCATCTCTATTTTGTTAGAGAAAAACAGATTTTGATCTTGAGCGCCAATGACGTAGTCCACATTCCTGCTTCACAATATGTTTATGTGAACAGCATCACATGTGCTTTGTCATTCACAACGTTATACAGTTACTGTGAAAACACACAGAGATGGGACTTCAGAACATGTCTGAAGATGATTTATGGACTTAAAAGATAGCTTTAGGGTTAGGGAATCAGAGACATATTCGTATTGTGGTTACAAAAAATCCAATCAGTGTTGTAAACATAATCAATATGTATGTTTAGCTTGTCAAAACTATGAAAGCACACACCTTTTTAATATTGCTGGCATACTGTTTGCCCACTATTTTCTCTGCAGTGCTCTCAAAGCCAAAGAACGACTTGATGTCCATGCTGGCGGTCTGCTCATAGCATGTCCAGTTTTCATTCTCAGGATGAACCTAGAGAACAAACAAATAAATAGAACACAATTGCAGAATGAACTAGCAATGTTTTGCAAGATTAATAGTGTCTCTGTGAGGTAAAATTGCGTATAACCCAAGCTCCTTTAGGCACTCTTTTTGCAGGCTCTTGGTTAAAGATAACAATTAGCAATCTTGACAGTTTTTACATTTTAAATATCAATATAGAGGTTTAATGATTTAACAAAGCAAACAAGTTGGCACATTATTTCTTTTGCATAATATGTGATACATTTATGATTTTGCCTGGCATGAATGAAAATCATCCATCCATGTCCATGTATTACACCTGCGGACTGCCCCGCCGGACCCGCCTGGGAGTGCTTCAGTCATGCAACGGACCTGTCCACGTTCAGCGGCCACTGGTCCACGTCCTGTAGCTAGCTTAGGTCCTAGATCATTAGCCTGTCCATCTGGAGGAGCGGATCCCTTTCTCAAATGGGTCTCCCTCCCTGTGGGTTTCCCTAGTTCTCCCCAAAGTTTCTCACTTTTTCCCACTGGGTTTTTTAAGAGTTTTTCCTTGTCGATGCAGGAGGGTCTTGTTGGACAGTTAGTGTCCAACAGAAAGGATTGGTGATGATCAGGACACTTTAGCATTCTACAACATGTATGGACATTTTCTTCTGTGTGTGCTTTATATTTTTCATGTGTTTAACTGTTGATTCTCTGATCTGTGTTGGTGATTTCAATGGTTTTGTTAAGTCCTCTGAGATGACTTCTGTTGTGACCTAGGGCAATACAAGAATAAATTGTATTGTATTGTACTGTATTTGTTCTTCAGTAAACAACCAATTATCAAAAAAATGTTTATGTACTTTATGCCAAACCCTAGGAAAATATGTATTTTTTTTGTAATGACGTTTTCTGTGCCAACTTGTTTGCTGTGTTAAGTCATTCAACTTCCATATTGATATTTAAACCGATGCTGGTGAGTGTTTGGCTGTGGATACGTGTGTGGTTCCGGTTGTTGCAAAGCATAACTTAATGAGTAATAAACTGCCTTTAACGCATCACATTAATTTGATTCCAGTTGTTATAGTTGTTAAATGTATCAGTGCATTCCTCCATAATGGAATTTGGCAACGCGTCAAGCAGTTCTTAAGCTGATTATGCATAACAATTTTAAAACACCACATTATCTCCAAAAGCAATGTCTTTAAAGTGTTTTGTGTTTTGTAGTGTTTATAACTCATTTCATAGAGACATTTTGTGCACCACAGGTCTTTTTAAAGAGCATGTGATGCAGACACCATAAAGTGAGCACTCACCGTGTACCTGCAGTGCTCCCGGACCAGGACTCTGCTGGAGAAGGTCTCATTGTGGATCCGTATGTCCAGAGTCCTGTCTCTGCGGTTTAGGGTGTTCTTCTGAATGAAGTATAGGTAATCCAGACCTGTAATCTATACAATTGTATACAAGAAAACAACAGTCATTTACAAAACATGGTAATTAGCCTTGATCACATCACTCTGAGGCCCTGTTAACACGGACACGCTGTGACAGTAAGACAATAGAGTTGTCTAATGGATTGGCCATTTATTCACATGGTGTCAGTGTTTCATGGAGTGAAAAAGCTTGCATTTGAGATTTTCACCAGAGAACCACACTGATGTTAGGCGTCATTCTCCACAAATGAGGAATAAATAGTTAAAGCAAATAGTTGTTTGTCCTTTTGCTATTGATGCTGGGCTGTTAAAGCTATTTTAAAAGCTCTAAAATGACATGACATTCATCACATAATCTTGATAAAATAAAGATAAATTTTTCAGTCCTATTACATACTTCTTTTCAGTTTTCGGTCGGTCTAGTTGCTATCATTATGCTCCCAAAATGACCATCTTTTGTCACATATTTGGAGACACTGTAACAGTAATACAAAAGAGTTGAGTGGTTATTGTTACCCTTTTCAGCAGTCTGGGGATCTCTATGTCGATGGTGCAGCGTCTCTCGGTCTGCAGCACAGAGCCGTCCTCGCTCTGGCTCTCACTCAGGACCTGACAGTCCACCAGCACAGGGATTAGAGGGCATGTGGGGAACCGTCGCACGTACGCCTGCAACACACCCACACTTCAACATAAGATGTTGCATTTTTGCTCCAAGAGATCCAATTAACTAAGTGCATACTGTTAACCACCACAATTAACCAAACGTAAGTATGTTTACAATTTTACTGTCTTTTACAAATAAAGTGGTCTCTCGTTTATCATGGGGGTTACAATCGGAAAAATAACAGTAGCAGCTATACGTTTTAAGGCTGTAAACCCCCTTATCAGACACTTCATACACTTTTCTAAAAGTGCTATACTAGTCCTGATCTCTACAAAAAAAAGTCACA